TATAGAAATGAATAAATGTGATCTTGGCCTTTCAGGAACCAAGTGCAGAGTTACACAGAGGATCCCTGTGTTCACTGTGTTGTGTTACAAAGACTGGTACACGGGGAATTACGGGTGATGAGAGGACAGGTGGGGCTTCTCGGTGGCTCAGTGGTAAAGAATCCATCTCCTGATGCAGGAGATGCAGGTTTGATCCCTGGGTCAGGAATATCCCCTGGAGAAGGAAACGGCAACCCACTCCAGTATTCTTGCCTGGAGAATCCCATGGACAGAGGAGCCTGGTGGACTACAGTCCACTGGGTCGCAAAAGAGTCAGACATGACTTAAAAACTAACAACAAACAGGACAGGTACCAACCCAGGCTGGGGGTGGGTCGGGTGGCAGAAGGGATGCCTGAGCTGCTTGCCAGGAATGAATGGGAAATAGCCAGGGAAAAGGGGAGTTCCAGGCACGGGGCTGGAGGCCGGAGCAAACGTGAGACTGATGTGTGCGGGCCACGGTAAGCCTTTGGATCTGGCTGAGCAGACAGAACTGGGGAAGCTTCTGGAGGTGTCTAGAGGTTGGGGGGCCCTCGCTGGCTCACAGCGAGGTATGTAGACTTAGGCAGTGGGACACCACTGAAGACGTGGACACAGGGAGTGACATAGTGAGATCTGTGTGTGGCCTTGCTCTCTGGCTGTTGTCCAAAGTGAAGATTATACTTGCAAGAGTAATCTTGGTCTCCTAATGGAGTCATCACAACCCTTAGCACAGGGCCTGACTCAGTTCACACTCAGTAAGTGGTAGTGACTGCTGTTGTTATCAGTGAACAGAGAGGAAGGGCAGGTGTGAGAGAGAAGTAGGAAGCAGAGCTGGCAGGTCTTGGCGGTCAGCTGGCGTGGCCTTCTGGGGCTGATCTGCTCATTCTCATCTAGCACCAGGGGTGGTGGTAGAGTTAGGGAGGTAGGGGCAACCCACTGACTGCCTTCAATCTGGAACCCAGCCCTCACCTCACGTCTGGGCTACCCTTCCCAGAACCGCACTACTGGTGTGTGTGAGAGTGTGTCCATGCGTGTCTTTAGGGAATGAAGCTCCAGAGAAGACCAATCCTGTTTCTCGGTCCTCTGGCTCTGGGAGCTCAGCTAGCTGCTAACTTCCTTCTGAAGACACCAGTTATCCTTTGGTCAAGGTGTCAGGATTCAGTCACGAGTTATTCATGAGCCCTGAGAACCACTGTTGGTCTCCAGAACTCAGTCCCCACACCTATAAAATTGCGTAGATGGTGCCAGTCTTTCCAACTCCGAGTTCTGACATGCTTCAGCAGTCAAAGCAATCGATGCCTTGTCCCAGATGGAGGGAGACCCTTGCTGGGGAGCTGGGACCACCCATACCTCAACCTACTTTGGATAACACTCTATGGCCCACTCCCAGTAGCCCTTCCCCCTTGGGTCCAAATCACCCCTTGGTTGGGGAGTGCTCTGTGGGCAGCATAACCCCCAGTGGACGCCTAACACCTCTCCCTTGTTTCTTTCACCTTCAGTCTCCCATCAGCGGAGCGGAAGTAAGCTTTCCTGGCTAAGTTAGATGAATGGTCCCCTTTAGCCTGGCGGGCTGCCCTCCTCCTGCCTCCCTACCAACTCCCCCTGTCAAGGGAGGTGCTTCGGTGTGTGGGGGAGGCTGGGGGGCAAGAGCATTTGTGCAGGGGTTGGGGGTGCCCTGCCCCCCCGAGGAGGAATGGTGCCCCCAGGGAAGAAACCAGCTGGAGAGGCTTCCAACTCCAACAAGAAGTGCAAGCGTTACTTCAACGAGCACTGGAAAGAGGAGTTCACCTGGCTGGACTTTGACTACGAGCGGAAGCTGATGTTCTGCCTCGAGTGCCGCCAGGCCCTGGTGCGGAACAAGCATGGCAAAGCGGAGAATGCCTTCACCGTGGGCACGGACAACTTCCAGCGCCACGCCCTGCTGCGCCACGTGACCTCGGGGGCCCACCGCCAGGCTCTGGCTGCCAACCGGGGCCAGCCCTCTTTTGAGGGCCAGGCTGAGGGCGGAGGGGCCTGCCCAGGCCTGGCCACCACCCCCAGCTCCAGGGGCGTCAAGGTGGAAGCAGACCCGGCTAAAGTGGCCGTGCTGACCACAGTGTACTGCATGGCCAAGGAGGAAGTGCCTGACGACCGCTGCTCTGCCCTGCTTGAGCTGCAGAGATTCAACCTGTGCCAGGCGCTGCTGGGCACGGAGCACGGTGATTACTACAGCCCCAGGAGGGTGAGGGACATGCAGGTGGGTGGCAGCCAGGGGTGTGGGGGAGGGATTGAGGAGGGAGGACATTGAGCCATCTGGGCATGGCACCAGCATGCCAGGCCCCCGGGGAAGAGGCCAAAGCAGCTCATTCACACCTTCGCCCATCCTCCCTGCACTGAGGGCATACTAGGTGCCAGGCCCCGGGCCAGCTGCGGGGCGCCTAACAGTGAAGAGGCTGGACCAGGCTCTGTCCTCGGGGGCTCAGGGTTGCTTGGCTCACTACCTAGGCCAGAGGTTGCAAACTGGTGGCCTGGGGGCTTGATTGGCTCACAGGCATGTTTTGGTAGTTTTCACAGTGTTTTCAAAAGACTTAAATTAGTTTCCAAGTTAAAAAAAAAAAAAAGACATTCCATATAAAAATGTGGACTTCTGACTTCTGTTGAGAAACTAGGTCCTGTGCAGTCAGGGCATGAAGTTCTGGAGTTGGAGAGCAGGGCATGGGCTTTCCCATTACCTTTGGTTTATCCCTGGTCCTCCTGAAACTCAGTATCACCCACATGGCCACTGGGGACATGCATACTCATGTAGCTCTGTCCTAGGTACTGGCTTTATGAGTCTTGGGGGCTGGTGTGGGGGTGAGGGGCGGGTTGGATCTCATCCTACCAAGAGATGAGAGACAAACAGCATGCAGCTGGGGCCCTGGTTAACCCGTGGGCAGTCAACCTATCAGTTAATCCCAGAGCAGCTGAGCAGAGGGAGATCCTCAAGAATAAGGTTGACTGGGGCAATGCTGTAGAGAAACTAACAAGACGCTTTAGAATCTTTATGATTCATAAAGCACTTTTACATTTATAAACATAACAACAAAGATTACATGGACGGGAATTTCTGGAGGTCCTATGGTTAAGACTCCAAGCTTTCACTGCTGAGGGCCTGGGTTCAATCCCTGGTCAGGGAACTAGATCACAAAAGCAGTGTGGCGTGGGTTAAAAAAAAAAATTGATAAGTCACAACAACCTTTTAAGGAGATTGGGGGCAAGTATTAGCCTCGAGGAAACAGAGATGAACAGAGAGGTGAAATGATTCGCTCAAGGTCACACAGCCAGTAAGTGACAAAGCTAGGATTAGTCCCTAAGACTGTCCAACCCCAGGCCTGTGCTCTATCACCCCATCCTGTCTGCCTCCCCTTCTCAGGACAAGCCTAACCCTGTCCTCCCTCTTTTTCTCTCCCTGGCTGTCCCAGGTGGCCATCGCCAGTGTCTTGCACACAGAGGCCCGTCAGCGCCTGAAGGCATCCCCATATGTGGGCCTGGTGTTGGATGAGACCAGGGACTGGTCTGAGTCCCACAGTCTGGCCTTGTTTGTCACTTCGGTGTCCCCCTGCGATGGCCAGCCTGCCACCACCTTTCTGGGCAGTGTGGAGCTACAGGAAGGCGAGGCCACTGCTGGCCAACTCCTGGACATCCTGCAGGCTTTCGGCGTGTCTGCATCCAAGCTGGCCTGGCTCAGCTCAAGCCTCCCCAGTGACCGCCTGGGGCGCGTGTGCCCGCAGCTCCGGGCCACCTGCCCACTGCTCACGGAGCTACACTGCCTCCCTGGCCGGACAGACCCCAAACCCCCTGCCTACCTAGGTGAATATGAGAGCGTACTGGACGCCCTATTCCGCCTGCACGGCGGCCCCAGTTCTCACGTGGTCCCTGAACTCAGGGCGGCACTGGACCTTGCAGCTATTGACTTGGCAGGACCACGACCAGTGCCCTGGGCCTCCCTGCTGCCCGTGGTGGAAGCTGTGGCTGAGGCTTGGCCTTGCCTGGTGCCCACCCTGGAGGCCTCTGCCCCAGCCTCGCCTACCACAAGGGCGCTGGTCCTCGCCCTTCGCCAGTTCACCTTCGTGGCCTTCACCCACCTCCTGCTGGATGTTCTGCCCTCCGTGCAGAAGCTGACCCTTGTCCTGCAGCCAGAGGAGCCGGATTTGGCCTTGCTGCAGCCTCTGGTGATGGCAGCTACAGCCTCCCTCCACGCACAGTGCAGTTCAGGTGGGGCGCGCCTCCAGGGCTTCCTGCAGGAACTGGCATCCTCTAGCCCCGATTTGGGCCGTGGCCGCTGCACCTACCGAGGCGTGGAGCTGGTGGGCTACTCTGAGGCTGCGGTCCAGGGCTTGAAGCGGCTGCGGGGGGCCTTCCTGGACTCCATGCGGAGGGGGTTGCGGGACTCTTACCCCGGGCCCTCGCTGGACGCCGTGGCCGCCTTCGCGGCCATCTTCGACTCCCGCCGCTACCCGCAGGCCCCCGAGGAACTGGGCGCTCACGGCGAGGGGGCACTCCGCGTCCTGCTGCGCGCCTTCGCCCCCGCTGTGGTGCGCCAGAGGGCGCTGGGCGACTTCGCGCTCTTCAAGCGCGTGGTGTGCAGCCTGGGGCGGCTGGGCCCGCGGGCCCTGTGCACCAAGCTGGCGTGCGCGCGCTCAGAACTGCACGAGCTCTTCCCCGACTTCGCCGCCCTGGCCGCACTGGCCTTGGCGCTGCCTGCGGGCGCCGGCCTCCTGGACAAGGTCTGCCGCAGCCGGGAGCTGCGGTGGTGGGGGCCAGGCGGGGCGGGGGAAGGACGGGGCGGCCCTGCGGTGAAGATCGCGGTGGATGGGCCGCCGCTGCACGAGTTTGACTTTGCGCTGGCGGTGGAGTTTGAGGGCCTCCTGGGCTCGCAGCTCACCTGAGAGCAGCTGCGGTGGTGGGGGCCGGGCGGGGCGGGGGAAGGACGGGGCGGCCCTGCGGTGAAGATCGCGGTGGATGGGCCGCCGCTGCACGAGTTTGACTTTGCGCTGGCGGTGGAGTTCCTAGAGAGCGGGTGGGGCGAGGGCCTCCTGGGCTCGCAGCTCACCTGAGAGCGGCCTCTTCTCCTCCGTCCAGCCAGTCCGGGACCCCTGGGCTTGCTAAGGGTCAAGCCAGATTTGACCTAGCAAGCTTACCTCCTAACTGTGGCCTGCCGCCCACCTTCCCCAGGCTTCCTCGGCTCCACGCTGAGTACTAACCCAGCTCAGTGGGATGTGGAAGAGGAGCTGGGTCCGGGGTGTGAGTGGGCGCTGGGGCCCGTGGGCAGAGGTGCTAGGGTCTCGGGCACCCAAAATACCACTCCTGACCTTTCCAGTTCTGCGGGGAGTAGTCCATCCTTTTCCCTCTGAACTCCACTCAAGTTTTTGCTCTAGAAAAGCTGAGGGGTCTTGGTTGGAAGGAGGAAGACAGAACCTCCGTAGCTGAGGGGTTGAAGGCCAGGAGACTGGGTCCTTGACTGTTAGCCTTGCTCCTAGCAACATGTCTTCTCTTCAGATGTGACTGGGGGAAAAAAAGTCGTTGTTTTTGACAGACAGCAGAGCACCCTTTCTGTGAAAAAGCTCAAGGGAAGTAAGAGGTTCCCTCTCCACCAACAGGCTGCCTGAGACTTTTCTGTATTTGACCGTGTACTTAGACATCCACTCCAGTATTCTTGCCTGGAAAATCCCATGGACAGAGGAGCCTGGCAGTCTTCAGTCCATAGGGTGGTAAAGAGTCAAACTAGACTGAAGCGACTTAGCACACACATAGACATACATATTTATCAATGTGAAATAAATCTATCCTAGCCTCCCTAGTGTTAACACACAAAATCTAAAAGGATTTCTTTTGGTTTTGCAACGACAGGGTTCAAAAAAGTCCCAAATGGACTGAATTTATTTCTAATTTTTTTCTTCCTCAAAGTCTGGCTGTCCTCCAAGTTCCTCACCTTCACCTGCCCTTGCCTCAGATCTCTCTCTCTCTCTTTTTTTTTGGCAGTGCTGAGATTTGAGATTTTAGTTCCCTGACCAAGGATTGAACCCAGGCCCCTGCCTCAGACCTTTAAGACCAAAGACTGTATAAACCACAGTGCTGGACTGGTTGACCCCAAGGACCAGCCTCAGGCCTGACCCAGGGGTGTTGGAGGGCTTTTTGTCTCCAGGGGAGAGCAGTTGGGGCCTCACCGGAGTTGGGGAACACATCCCTTCAGATTCTGGGGGGTTTCCTATCCCCTCTGTCAGTCCTTGCTGTGAATGCTGTGCGGGATCTGGAGGGGAGTAGTTAGTGAGAGGGGAGGGGGCTGGCCTTTCCCCAAGTCTCCTGGGTTTGGGTTTAATTTGCAATAAAGTGGAAACCCAGTGCATCATGCAGTCTCCATGGTGGTGTGTGTGTCAGGGGCCCCCCCGACTCCCCTCTCGGGTTCACTGGGGCCATAATGCTGCCCCTGTTGGGGGGGGTGTGGTCATCTTTCTGGGCTAGGAGCCTGGAACTGTGGACCCTCTGCTTCCCCTTCCCCAGTGGTGCAGGGGAGAGGTGCAGAAATGGGCTATAATCACCCTGGGTTTAGCCAGCACTGCTTTGTGGAGACAGGAGTTTCTGCCCTGGCTCCACAGCCAAGAAGCCCATCAACCTCTTGTTCTGGCTGTGGGGGAAGGAGTGAGCCCTGTGACTCCCCGTTTCAGACCCTGACCTTCTTCCTCCTGCAGCAGGCCCGGCCTCCGGAGCCCCCAGCCCGCTGCTGGCCTCCCTGGCCCTGCCCGCCAGGCCTCTGCAACCCCCGCTGGACTTCAAGCACTTGCTCACCTTCCACTTCAATGGCGCCACCCCGCTCAATCTCTTCCCCAACTTCAGCACGGTACGGGCTGGGCAGGTGGGTGGGGGGAGTGCAGCCCAGCATGGGGGTGGGCTGGGAAGGTGGGCTCCCAGGGGCTGGCTCTCAGAAGCTGGGTCCAACCAGGAGCAACATCCCCCCGAGTGACCAGGTGCCCCCAAAATGGAGCCCAGCTCCTCCTTAGGCCAGAATATCCAGGATGCTACCGTCCTCTCCCGTATCAACTGCTGCTGGGCCTGGAGGGCCTGCGGACTGCAGGTTTCAGCGAGTTTTCATAAAGGGGCATCTGCCGATGATCTGTGTATGTCTGTGTGCCTTTCTGTTTTAGTTCGTCTCTATAGGACTTTGTGTATTTGTAGGTGTGAGTTTGTGCATGTGTGCTTGTGAACTCTTTATGCCTGCATAGTTGTCTTTATTTAGTGTATATGCCTGGGTATCTGAGAGTTTTTTGTGTCCACTGTGTATGTGTTTGGTGTGTGTCTGGCCTCTTCGTGTATGTTTTTAATATGGTTTGGGTGATTCTAAGTTTGTGGATGTGTGCCATTGGTGTGCAGGTGAGTGTGTATCTTTCTGCTTGTTTCTGTGATTTGTAACTGCCTGTAAGTTTATGTGCTGTGTGTCTGCCCACTACTAGCCTGTGTACTAGTATTCCCATGTACTTCCATGCATGTATGTAAATCTGAAATTTACTTCACTATATGAGCTATATGACCCCTTTTTTAAAAAATTGAAAAATCAAATGTATCATTGATGAGCCCCAGGCCATCCTGACAAGATAGTGGGAAATTCCATCTAATCACCCTTGGGAGCCCCTTCCTTCCCACCCTCCAGTGTTGTACAAAGATCCTAAGGAGCCTGAGACAATTGGGGGGGGGTCCTCTGGTTCTCAGCCCCCACTGTTGCTTGCTGACATGCTCACTGTTCAGGCACATGGTCCCTACGAGGGGGTCAGTCTGCTGCTCTCATCACTGGGGGCCCAGCAGGCCGTTCTCCCCTGAAATCCTGTCCCGCCCTACCACCCACCCACCTCAGCCCCCGGCCCTGGGTGCTGTGAGGGTTAGAACCTTTCTCTGGTCTCAGGGAGCTTTCTGAAACCATCCTCTTCTCTCAAAGCCTGTGTTCTCCTGTCTCAGGAAGGTTTGGAAAGTTCCTCTTGACAAGTAAGCCCCCAACGACTTCTGCTTTTGACACAACAACCCTGCCCTTGAGAAAGGGGAACATAAAGGCTTGGTTTGATAGGAGAAACAGAAATTATTTAAAACCAGGAAAAGAAAAAAAATGCAAATTCCTATTCCAGGGAAATGACCCTACTATTCAGGGAACCCTCTGGCTTCCACCTGCTAACCCTGCTTGCCGCCCCCAGCCTGGTCCCCCACTGCCCTGGGCTGTGGCTCTCTCTCAGGCCCTGGGACAGCGGCAAAGCTGATATAATAAGCTTTATCTCCCCTTGCTCACAGGTCCAGCACAAGACTGGGTTATGGGAGAGGAAATTCCAAATTCCCTTCTCTGCTTCTCCCTGCCCTCAACTCTCTGTACACGTAGATGTGATTCTCATGAATAAGTGAAAAAAGAGACTAGAGGGGCAGCAAGGGAAGCCAGTGTGGTCACCAGGCCATGGTTCTGTTTCTCAAGATCACAAAAGTCATGTGGCCATCCCCCTGCCTCCTAGCAGAAGCCTAGGCCATCTAAGAAAGTCAGCCAGGGAAGAGACTGTTTCTTTTTTGGTGTCTAATATCCACAGACATGGGAAATTTCTTCCTGTGGGCTGACCACTGCCCTCCTCTATAGACTTTAGTTTTGGGCAATTAGCACTGCCCTCCCTCCTTACTTAGCTGACCCCACAGTTACTATGCCCTCCCACCCCCTCCACAGATGGACCCAGTCCAGAAAGCTGTCATCAGCCACACATTTGGGGTCCCCTCTCCCCTGAAGAAGAAGCTCTTCATTTCCTGTAACATCTGTCACCTGAGATTCAACTCAGCGGTGAGAGGGAGTTGTGGAAACAGGCTGGGGGGTTTCTGGGCAGGGAGCGGGCTGGACCCTGGGCTTTCAGGTCTTTCCTGCGTGGAGGAATAGGGGTGGCAAAGGGACTGTCTGTATTTTCTGTCCTTCGTTGAGGAAGAGCTGCTCCTGGCCCTTTATCCATCCCACCTTCTCCTCTCTCCAGATTCCTGTGCCCCTTCCCAGCCCATCCCCCTGGGATTCTGTTTTCCTCCCATATCTCCCATATGCCTCTCTCCTGTGTTCTGGAACCTTCTGATGAGAGCAGGCTGCCCTTCCCTACTCTGGGTCCCAGGGTTCACCATCGGTTCTGGTTCGGGGCTGAGTTCTTAACACACCTGAGAGTTTACAGAATCTGTTCGTGTCCATCCTCTTAATTAGTTCTCAGGATACATCAGTGAGATGGTTCAAGGTCCTATCCTCAGCCTCATTTTTCAGATGAGGAAACTGAGCTTCAGAGAGGTTAAGTGACTTGCCTGAGGTCACACAGCTGGTAATTAGCAGAGCTGGGATTTGAACCCAGGCCTGGCTGACCCCATAGTCCACATACCTCCTAGCAGGGCCTGCCCCGAGAGAGTAGGGAAGCCTCGTTCTGGCCTCCAAGGGAACGTTTGCCTTCTGTCCAGGCAACTTCTGCAGTTTGGGAGATGCTGTTGGCAGACCTGCTCTTGTAAAAGAGCCTAAGGAGAGGCCACAGGGCCTTGTCGTTCCTACTTTGGGGAGCAATAAGCAGGAACTCCTAGTGGACAGGCCAGATTTGGGGGTTCCTTCCAGGCTTTCAAGTTATGTGAGTCATGCAAGTGATGGAAGAGAGACTCATTCTGATAGAGAAACCATATATTTTTCATGCTGGGCCCAACACAGTGCCTGGCAAACAGCAAATTCTCAGTAACTATTTGTTAAAAAACACATACAGAAGGATGAATGATCTGGAGTGTATGTTCCCTAAAGCGTGGGTACTGCTCTGTTTTGCCACCCATGCATTTATAAACCTAGTAACTAATATTCACTGAGCACTTATTCTCTGTAGTAGGCCCTTGTCATTCATCCCTGGGTTGGGAAGATCCCCTGGAGAAGGGAATGGCAACCCACTCCAGTATCCTTGCCTGGAGAATTCCATGGACAGAGGAGCCTGGCAGGGTATAGTCCATAGGGTCACAAAGAGTCGGACATGACTGAGCGATTAACACTTTTGCTTTCACTTGTCATTCATGTTCTCATTTTCATTCTCACAACCCTATGAAATCAGTGTTATCATCCCAAAGCTTACAAGTCAGGAAACTGAGGCTCAGAAAGGTGAAGTGACTTGTCCAAAGATGCACAGCTAAAAAGGCACCAAGGCAGAATTGGAAGGCGGTGGCGGTTTGCCTGGGAGCTCACATACGAGAATGCATTCTGTAACCCTCGGGCCCACACACGTGCTATGATGACGATGACAATGGCAAGGATTTGCTCCCTGTGTGGCCAGAGCCCTGCCTCCCTCTGACCTGCCCCCTACGTGCCAGCTCATGGATGGGGCAGGTAGACTCAGCAAATGAATGGTGACCCCAGGCTCTCCCCTCCCCAGAACCAGGCCGAAGCACATTACAAAGGCCACAAACATGCCAGAAAACTCAAGGCTGTTGAAGCTGCCAAGAGCAAGCAGAGGCCGCAAACCCTGACCCAGGATGAAACGCTGGCGTCCCCCACCCCGACTCCAGCCGGTGGAGCCCCCAAAGAGCTGCGCAGCAAAGGTCAGTCCTGAACTTTTGTCCCACCCCTGTCCCACTTCAAATCTGGTTTCTGACAAGGGGTTGAGTGCTTTCTGCTTATTATTATTCCCACTTATGTTGGAGTATACCATCTGTACACGAAGAGGCACACACCACACAGAAGAGCATCTCAGATTTTCCAGCCTGAATCTGCTGAGGTGAAGAGACATGTCACAAGCACCCCAGAAGCACCGCCCCCCACTCCTTGGGCCCTCTCCCAGTCACTACCCTGTTAGCTTCCTAGGCCTGGGATAACGAATGACCACAAACTGGGTGGCTGAAAGTAACAGAACTGTATTTTCTCAGTTTCTGGAGGTCAGACCTTTGGAACAAGGTGTCAGCAGGGTTGGTTCCTTCCCGGGGTGCAGAGAGAGAGTCTGTTTCATCCCCCTCTTCTAGCTTCGTGGTTGCCAGCAATCCTTGGCCACATTCTGACCTTCTGTCTCCACCCTCACATCACCTTCTCCCTCGTGTTTGTGTGTTCACATGATCTTCTTAGAAGGACACCAGTCACTGACCTCGGGCCCACTCTAGTCCAGTTTGATCTCATCCTAACGAATTACATCAGCAAAGACTCTGCTTTCCAGATAAGATCACATTCAGAGATTCCAGATGCACATAAGTTTGGGGGTGATGCTATTCAACCACCTATAACCCTCCCCCAGGGTAACCATGAGCCTGACTTTTCTCACCAGAGATTAGTCTCACCTGGTTTTGGTTAATGACATACAGACAGTTCCCGGCTTCATGATGATTTGGATTATGATCTTTTGACTTCCAGGGCTTCCCCAGTGGCTCAGTGGTAAAGAATCCACCTGCAGTGTAGGAGACATGGGTTTGATCCCTGAGTCAGGAAGATCCCCCTGGGGGAGGGCACAGCATCCACTCCAGTATTCTTGTCTGGAGAATCCCATGGACAGAGGAGCCTGTTGGGCTACAGTCCATGGGGTCACCAAGAGTTGGGCACGACTGAAGCGACTTAGCACACAGCACACATGGTATGAAAGGGATATGCATTCAGTTAGAAACTGAACTTCCAATTTCAAATTTTGATCTTTTCTGGGCTAGAGATATATGGTACATACTCTTTTTTAAATTGGTGTATAATTGCTTTAGTGTGTTGTTTTCAGTTCAGTTGCTCAGTCATGTCCAACTCTTTGCAACCCCATGGACTGCAGTATGCCAGGCTTCCCTGTCTATGACCAACTCCTGGAGCTTGCTCAAACTCATGTCCATCGAGTTGGTGATGCCATCCAACCATCTGATCCTCTGTCATCCCCTTCTCCTGCCTTCAATCTTTCCCAGTATCAGGATCTTTTCCAATGAGTCAGTTCTTCGCATCAGGTGGCCAGAGTATTGGAGCTTCAGCTTTAGCATCAGTCCTTCCAGTTAACATTCAGGACTGATTTCCTTTAAGATTAACTGGTTTGATCTCCTTGTAGTCCAAGGGACTCTCGAGTCTTCTCAAACATCACAGTTCAAAAGCACCAATTCTTTGGCGCTCAGTCTTCTTTATGTTCCAGTTCTCACATCCATACATGACCACTGGAAAAACCATAGCTTTGACTAGACGGACTTTTGTCAGCAAAGTCAAGTCTCTGCTTTTTAATAAGCTGTCTAGATTGGCCATAGCTTTTCTTCCAGGAGCAAGCGTCTTTTAATTTCATGGCTGCAGTCACCACCTGCAGTGATTTTGGAGCCCAAGCAGATAACAATGTTGTATTAGTTTCTGCTGTAAAAGGGAGTGGGTCAGCTCTATGTGTGCACATATCCCCACCCTCCTGGACCTCCTCTCGTGCGCTCCTCATTCCTCCCCTCTGGGTCACCACCGAACAGCGAGCTGAGCTCCTTGGGCTCTACTGCAGGCTCCCACGAGCTGTCTGTCTTACACTCGGTAGTGTCTGTCAGTCCTAATCTCCCAATTTGTTCCACCCTCCACTTCCCATTTATGTGCATGTGTCCATTCTCTACCTCTGCGTTTCTGTTCCTGCCCTGCAAACAGGTTCATGTGTACATTTTCCTAGATTCCACACATATGCATTAGTATATATTTTTCTCTTTCGAACCGACTTCACTCTGTATGACAGAGGTACATACTCTTTTGTGATGTTGGACAGCAGCAGCCACATGACCAGGAGAGTAAACAACTGACACACAACCATTCTGTGCCCATGCAAGCAATGTGTTTTTCACTTTCAGCACAGTATTCCATAAATGACATGAGGTAGTCAGCACTTTATTATAATATAGGCTTTGTGTTAGATGATTTTGCTCAACTGTAAGCTAAGGTAGGTGTTCTGTGCACATTTAAGGTAGGCTGGGCCAAGCTTTTATGTTTGGTAGGTTAGGTGTATTAAATGCATTTTTTAATTATGATGGGTTTATTGGGATGTAACCCATTATAGATTGAGGAAGATTTAGAGTATGTAGGTTTTGCATCTGGCTTCTTCCATGTTGTTGTGTGTAGCTGTGTTTTGTCCTTTTTCATTGCCGTGTAGTATTGCATTGTCCAGCAACTCTTTTCACTATTCTCCTGTTGATGACTATTTGGATAGTTTCCAGTTTCTGCTGCTAGGAATAGTGCTCTATGAATATTCTAGAACATCTTTTTGGTGACTTCCATTTATTTAACAGTTAGCTAATAACTGTGGATTATCAGGGCTGGGAGGGCTCTCTGAGACCACTGGGCCCAACTTTATGATATCATGTGGGAAAGCTGAGCCCAAGTCTGCCCAGTGATTTGGTGGGGAGTCTGGAATTCAGTGCTGGTCATCCGTACACCAGGGGCCCTCCACTCAGCCATGCTACCCCCAGAATGTCTGTGCTTAAAATCATGGTCTCGAGGGACCTCCCTGGTAGTCTAGCTGTTAAAGACTTCAAGCTTCCACTGGAGGAGGCATAGGTTTGATTCCTGATTGGGGAACTAAGGTCCAACATGCCTCATGCAGCCAAAAGTTAGAAAAAATGAACATTTTTTAAAAAGTCATGGTCTTGAGAATCATCTTGGAGCTTGCCCTCTTACCTGAAGCCTTCCATCTCCCCAGCAGTTCCTGCGGCCCCTCCTCCTGATCCCGAAATCCAGTCACCCCGGAGTCCAGAACCCACGCCCAGGGAGCCGGTCCCCTCAGACCTCTTGGATGCTGTCTCCTCTTCCTCCTCTTCGTCTTGCCCACCCTGCTCCCCAGAGCCTGGGCCAGAGGCCCCAGAGCCTGAACCGGCAGCAGCTGCTATGGGGAGCAGTGTGAGTGGGGAAGGCAGGGGCGAGAAGGGGCGCCTCTACTGCGCCACATGTAAGGTGACCGTGAATTCCGCCTCCCAGCTTCAGGCTCACAACACAGGTCAGTGCCCCCCTCCAGCTTGAGTCTGGGGAGGAGATGCCCCTCACCAGATGTGGGCAGACTGTGGCTTCTGGGTGGGCACTGTGCTCGAGGGCTGGCTGACAGAGGTGCTGTGCCCAGCTGTGAGTGGGCAGGCACTTGGGGTCCTCCAGCTAATGCTTGGGGAGGGAGGATCGGGAAGAGAAGCCTGAAGCAGCAAGATCTGAAGGGTCCCCACAGAAGATGGGAGACACCCCCCTCCATCTCTCCTTGGGTCAGACCTGGGGGAGGGGGTTGGGATGAGAGTCAAAGGGAAGCTGACCTAAAGTTTACTCTGCAAGGAAGCTTTCTTGAGGCATGAAATGAATGCAGCTGGGAGGATCTTTGGGGCTTTCCAGGTGGCACTAGTGGTAAAGAAACCCCTGCCAATGCAGGAGACATGAGAGACGTGGGTTTGATCCCTGAGATGCGGGGAGATCCCCTGGAGGACACGGCAACCCACTCCAGTATTCTTGCCTGGAGAATCCCACGGAGAGAGAAGCCTGGCAGGCTGTAGTCCGTGGGGTTGCAAAGACTCAGACACGACTGAAGTGACTTAGCACGCATGGGAAGACCTTTCAGAAGGAAAGAGAAACTTCATGTGGCTGGAGGGGCTGTCGGTGTCGAGCAGCCTGGAGGCTTCAAGGGACAGCTAGGCTGACCTGGCTTGGAGGGGGGTCTCCGTGGCCCTGCAGCCCCTCTCTGGTGCTGACAAGCTGTCTCCTTTCCTTCCGCCAGGAGCCAAGCACCGGTGGATGGTGGAAGGTCAGCGGGGCGCTCCCCGCAGGGGCCGGGGCCGCCCGGTGCCCCGGGGAGGAGCTGGACACAAGGCCAAGAGAGTGACAGGGGGCCAGGGGGGGCGGCAGGGGCCCAGCCCCCCGTTCCACTGTGCTCTCTGTCAGCTCCAGGTCAACTCAGAGACCCAGCTCAAGCAGGTGGGGCAAGTGAGGCTGGGATTGGGGGTGGAGCAGAGGTGAGGGGGCGGGGAGGAGAGAGCCTTCGGGGAGAAGGTGGATGGAGCAGAGCAGGGGGCAGGTGGAGAAAGAGGTGTGATGCTCAGGGGATGGTGAGCTCCTGGAAGGCCAAGGCCGATTCTTGCCTCCCCTTCCCAGGGCTGCTCCAGGGCCAGGTGGATTAGGTGTGTGAACTGTGGGTAGCAGAAGGGTGAGCTAGCTGAGCATGAGAGGGTAGTTTTGGGGTCCCTGGGTTCCTCTTCTTGTTCCCAGTCTCTCTGTCTGTCCATTAGCACCTGAGCAGCAGGAGACACAAAGACCGTCTGGCCGGGAAGCCCCCCAAGCCCTCCAGCCAGCACAGCAAGCTGCAGAAGCACGCAGCACTGGCTGTGAATCTCCTCAAGGTATCGGTCCAGGTCCGGAGGCGAGAGGGATGGCCGGAAGGGAGGGCAGGCTGGGCGGCGGGAGGTGGGGCAGGAAGGAAGCCTCCCCACCCCATCTCATGGCGGCCCGGGCAGGGAAGGAACTGGGGTTGGGTTTTTGGTTGTCTTGAGATCTGCCCAGAAAAATTTCCGGGGAGGTGGGCCCAGGAAAGTCATCTCAGGGGCAAGCGAAAGGGGTGGGCGAGCATCTCCTAGAGACCATGTCCACCCCCCACTCCCCCTAGCCTCCCCGCTCGGCCCATCCCAAGAGTCTCCTCCCCCTGGACAGGACGACAGGTGGTGGAGAAAGCCCTGTGGAATGAATGTGTGGGGGTGGGAAGGGAGGAGGATTTAGGTTTGGAATCCTGAAAGTCACGTTTTTCCTGCAGCAAAAGGTCTAGGGGATGGGGCCACGGGAGGGGAGGGGATTTTCCTGGGGTCAAAGACTGTGTCCATCCCTCTTTTCTTTGCAGTCTAAACTGGCCTTGCAGAAGCAACTCACCAAGACCCTGGCAGCCCGCTTCCTGCCCAGCCCGCTCCCCACCGCGGCGGCAGCCATCTGTGCCCTGCCAGGGCCCCTGGCCCTCCGGCCTGCCCCCACAGCGGCCACCACCCTCTTCCCAGCTCCGATCCTGGGTCCAGCTCTGTTTCGCACCCCAGCGGGAGCCGTTCGCCCTGCCACGGGACCCATCGTCTTTGCCCCCTATTAGCCCTCCCAGTAGTCGCCCCTGCCTACCACCGGCCCTGATCCCTCTCCCTGAGATGCCTCAGTTCCCTCCATCCCTCAGGAGAATGCCTTGTACAGCCCTGGGGGTCTTGCCCAATCTAGGAAGAGCTGGGCTAACGCTAAGAGCTGCTCTGCCCAGCCCTCAGTCTGCACTGGGGACTCAACTAATGCCACCCTGGCCCACAGACCATCCATCTGCACCCTCCCTGCCTCTGGTGTCTAGGGCTAGTCCTGATCTCCCCTCCATTTCCCATCCTGACTTATGGGGAGCAAACCGAAAAATCCAAAGATCTATGCAATAATCCTAGCCCCAGCCCCATGGTGCTCTCATTCCCCCCAACTCAAGACCTACAGCCATGTGGCCAGAGGCCCAAGGAATCTGACTTTCTCCTAGCCTGAGGACAAGACTGTGACCTCTATTCCCATGCCCTGCAGGGGGTGGGGTGGGGGTGGTCTTCCCCATTCACTGGATTCCCCAGAGAATCACTGGCAGTGATAGAGGGGGTCTCCAGCAGGAGTGGGTGCCTGGACAAGGGTGTGGTGGAGGACCGTGGAGGAGAGAGGGAGCAGCACCAAGTGGGGCAAAGCCAAGGGGCGGCTGGAGCCGCAAGCTTCTGGGGTTTTCACCTGCTGACAGGATGAGGTGATGGTGATGGTGATGTTTTGGCTGGGCCGTCTGTAATAGAGGAAATGACCAGTCCTACACACGTTCTCCCCTCTTAGCCTTTCATTGTCTTCCTGAACCCCAGCTCTCAAGGGGGAAGTGGGGTGACACTGGGTCTCCCTCAGACTATGGGCCCCCTGACACCAAATCCACCCCCCAGGGCTCCCCTCCAGTTCCTCACTTCAAACTAGCCCCCAGCACTCAATTCAGCTTTCTCCCCAGACCAGCAGCCCAAGCCCCCGTCGCCGTGAACCTGAGTGTTGGGATCCACTCTCAAGACCCATTTTCCTGCTGTCAAGATTACTGCCACCACCCGCCTCCCACCCCAGCACTGCCACCCCCCACCCCACGATATGGGACTTTGCCAGTATCCGCCTGTTACCTTTTTTTTTTAAAAAGCTATTTCCAATGGGGGTACAAGAAAAAAAAGGGGGGAGGGGAGGGAAACTTTTTGATAACAGTTGTGGTTTTATTGTGTCCAACACATTAATAAATGAATTTAAGCTCAAGCCTGTATACGCCCTACAACTCCACTCGCCCAGCTGGGCCGCCTGCCCCTTCTCTCCTCTCCCGTCCTGGGGAGAAGGGGCGTGTATTGGAGGTCATCTGGCTGTAGTGTCTCACCTGTGCTAGGTGTGTGCATCAGAAGCAGGTGAGCACGGGAGGTTGCAGGTTACAAGCTCACCTGACCACGTGCCGGAAGTGTAACCACCCTTCTGAGCCCCCGACAGGTCTGGCAGCTCCTGAGAAGCTGCTCCTGCTTGGCCTTGTTCTGCTCAGGCGTCTGAGGTAAGAAGGGAGCGCTAGAGGAGCACCTTGCCCAGCCTCCACCGTGGCAGCAGGCATATAAACACAGGAAATTGATAAACAGAAGTCCAGCGATCAGCTGAAAACCACCACAGGAACGGGAAAGACCGGTCCCCAGGCCTGGGCAGCCCGCTGATCGGGCCCTGGGCGGCCGCTCTGGCAACTAGAGCGAGTAGCGCGCCCCTGCCCCCTGGTGGTCGGGGGGAGCAGTGTCCCAGCCTCCGGGGCTGTGGGCATAGCACCTTGAAAAGGGAGCAGCTGAGGGGACAGTCGCAGTTGTGGGCAGTATCCAACCACAGGGCTAGAGAGGATAGAATCGAGATCATCTTTCAGATGAGAAAAGCGAAGCCCAGAGAAGGGAAGGGGCTTGCAGGCCCACAAAGCCAGCTGGTGACTCCCAGCCCAGCTGCGTTCCATTCCACCTCACCCAGTGACAGGCTCCCTGAGCAGCAAGAGGAAGCCGGGGGAAGAGTTACAACAGAAAAGGACACTCCCAGGAGGCTAGCTTCTTCCAGCCAAGGAGAGGACAGGAGAGAGGCTGGGCTGTTGGATGAGGAGGTGCCCGGAACACCAGCACGCACACACATGCACACACACCCTTTCTCTACAGTCCAGGCTGGTGCCATGAGAGTGAGTATACATGTGTGTGTCCTAAACACCAGCATGCAGATGTGCACATCTACACACAGATACGTGGACACTCTTTCTCTAGGGTCCAGGCTGGTGCCATAAGTGTGTGTGAGTGTGTGTGTGTGACCCAAACATCAGCACACACACGTGCATATCTCCACACAGATGTCTGGATGCCCTTTCTCTAGAGTCCAGGCTGATGCCGTGTGTGTGCATGTGCGTGTGTGTGTGTGTGGGTGGGTGGGTGTGTGTATGTAGAGGCTTCCTGAACAGGGAGTGTGTGTGCGTAAGAGAGAGAGAGAATAGATACTGGCAGGAAACCAGAAGTGGGAGGTCCCTGTGATAGGAACCAGACCCTAGATGCGGCACTTCTGCATAGCTCTGCTTCCTCTCCTGGCAGGTAAAAGGGACAGTGACCCACAACTACCCCAGTCACTGCAGGGCGGATATGATGGGGGCCTGGGGGGGTTGGGGGTGCTAACCTAGACTATCAGCAATTCCCGGAGCTGGGAGGGAGCAAAAGCGACCTGAGCCCGGGACAGCCCAGCTGCCTGGCCTAGCGGTGAGCTCCCCACCTCGCTGGGAAGGAAAGCTCACCCAAACCCCCCTTTCCCCCCAACCCATCTTCCAGGGCTGGGAAGGCACCTCTTCAGCCATCCAAGGAGCCGCTGCCCTTGTTCTTGCGGCTCAGGGGGAAGGCAGACTTGCTCTGGGGCTGGGTCATCTTGCTGGCCAGGTAGATGAAGGGTTCCAGCAGTGAGCGGCGGTCAGCCACTGACACCTCCCACAGCTTCACCTTCTCCGACTTGGCCCAGTGCTGAGCCACGTCCGGGTCTACTCGCCGCTGCTCCTGCAGGTCACACTTGTTGCCGAGGACCACAATGGTGACCTGGGGAAGAGGAACACAGGAGAGGCCTGTGGCTGTAGATAGACCCTGGGGGTGGGGATGAGGGCCAGTGACCACCTCAGGCTTGTCATGGAACTCTCAGAGCGGGTGCCAGATGGAAGCCAGAACTTGAACAGAGGGAGGAGAGGAAAAAACAACTACTTCCACCTCGGAGTCCTAGGGGAGGGGAAGAAGTCTCAGCCGCTGAGGTCTCATCTCTTCCTACATTAGAAATTGTGGGCAGGGCCTCCATCTGGCACCCCCTCCAGGAGTTCTGTTACAAGCCCTGTGTCATTCACGCCTGATCATTACTGGGAGTCAGTTAGTTGCCGGCTAAGTTAGCTGGTGAGGAAGCACTCCCAGAATGCCTGATTGAGAACAAAAGGGCCTTCACAGCTGAACACATAACCACTATCAAAAAAAACTAGTGGGGACATCATGTGTTAGGGCAGGGACCTCCTAAACTCGAGCAGCTTCTTTGGCTGAGCTGTCTCAACAGGTGGGCACCTCTAGTGGTGAAGACCCCCAGCAGTGGTCTCCATCCTCGCCCTCCAGTTTCAAACCTAGTTTCTGGCAAATGAGTGAAAGACAGAGCCATTCCAGGCCTCCCAAAGCCAGCCAAGGGTCTACAGTCTCTTACCACCGGGGTTCCCCCACACACCTCCTTCTTGTCCTTGGATTTGTCAATCTCCTTCTTGAGCAGCTCCACGCGCTGAAAGGACTCCCGGCTGTCCGTGCTGTAGACGAGGACATAGCCGTCAGTGCAGGAGAAGCAGTGCCGGGGCAACTCGGCCCCGTCTCGGAGCCCCCGGGTGTCGTAGAAACGCACCTGCTCCCGGACCCCCCGGTCAGTCTCAATGGAGCCCACGTAGATGTCCTCCTGCGTCTCGATCATCTCAGAACCTGGGACAAAATGAGGAGAAAACTTGTTTCTGGGCTTCGCTGGTGGCTCAGTGGTAAAGAATCCACCTGCCAATGCAGGAAATTTGGGTTCAATCCCTGATCCGGGAAGAGCCCGAGTGCCTTGGAGCAACCAAGCCCCTGCTCCACAATTCCTGAGCCTGTGCTCTAGAGCCCGGGAACCGCAACTACTGAAGCCCATGTACCCTGGCACCCGTGCTCCGTAACAAGAGAAGCCACTGCAATGACAAGCCCATGCACTGCAATACACAGTAGCCCTCTCTTGCCTTCACCGCAACTAGAGAAAATCCCGTGCAGCAAAGAAGACCCAGCACAGCTTAAAGAAAAAAAAAAAAAAAAGCTTGTTTCTAGGGAGAAAAAAGATTGGGAACCTACGTGACTGAGTATATCCTAACAGGCCAACCAGATAGGGGGAGAAAGGAATGTGGGGTCAGACTTCAAACCTGGCTGGACTGGAATGATTTGGGGAACAGAGTTAATCTTATGCTGATACCATGCTAAGCACAGCATGACTTGCAAGCTTTTCCTTCCTATCTTTCTCTGATATTGGGTTTCCTCTTTCCAGATTTCTTCTGTATGGCAGGGTTGGGATCTTTCAGATCCCAGGAGCACCACCAGGAGCAACTTTTAGCCTCTTTGTGTTGTGATCAAATCTTCTCTTCATACTTCCACTTCCTCCACCACAGCCCATCCCCAGCAACTCACCCACTACATGGTTTCCGTACAGAAGCTGCTCCAGGATTGAAGTCTTGCCCACAGAAGCCTGGCCACACACGACCACCTTGCAGCTCTTCCCCATGCTTAGCTTTCAACCCTGAAGAATGGAAGCACGCTGGGTGAGGCAGGATGAAGACACAGGGCCTTCCCTTAATCGAGATCCCAAGTTCTGAACCGAACACACACCTTTGAGGAGTCGGCACTGTCCGCTATCCTCGGAAGGGTGTGTACTGTGTCCACTACAGTGTCTGTGACGTGTCTGTGTCTGCTACTGGGCAGTGAGCTGTATCGTACTTCTATTCCCAGTACGTGGTCAGTAAGTGGCACAGAGCAAGTGCTCAGTCAATGTTGCCACGACGCGGGAAGAGCTGCCACGTAGCTGGCTTAAAGGAACCACTATCCAGGATCTTTTCTGTGCACAGGATGGACAGGATGTCAAGGACCAGTTGCTGAAGGGAGCTCTGGCTCAAGCTCCCTCTCTTTAACCATGATCCCGCAGAGAAATAACCAGAGATATTATTTTGTGTGGGTCTATCTTACATCACTCTTCTTGGGGAGTGAACAATTCTGCTTTCCAGAAAGGCTGATCTGGACAATCCGTTCCCTCTAACTCCCAGTCAAGGCCATGGCTAGGATGAAGAACATCAGACAAGAGACAAAGGAGGGACGGAATCTAAGAAAACAATGCTTTGGAAAGGAGAAAGATTTTGCTGCCCTTGGACACACCCAGATAAGACTTAGACACAGAAATCTCAAGACACCCCAAGAGATCTCAAGGTACCCCAAACAGGTTTCCCAGAAGTCCTAGACAAAGATTCCCCCAGAGAGGACAGGTAAAGATAACTTCCCCAAGGTATCTCACACAGAAACTTCTCCAGAGGTAACTCCCAGTACAGATCCCCTCTTCCCACGAGCCCCGCAATTAAGGGGTACCCCACGAGAGACTGCCACATGAGCCTCCTGCACATTCTCCCCACCAGGGGGCTCCCAGAGGGAATCAGAATCCTGCCACCTAAAGCGTCCCCAAAGCGGTGGTCGACCCCGGCCTCCCAGTCCCGTACCTCCTAGGGTCCTCGCAGCAGCACAGCCGGGCCCGTCCAGGTTCCCGGGGACCAGGGGTGGGGCAGTACCACGGCAAACACTCGGATCTTCCTCTGCGTCGGTCCCGACTCCGTCTGGTCCCGCCCCTGCAGCTTCCATCCGGCAAGACCAATTCCGGCGGCGGAGAGCGGGCGCCGGCGACACAGCGCCCTCAGAGGCCGGCGGGGAAATGACGGTCTGCACCTTGGCTAGGTGGTCGCCAGGGCACAGGTTATATATAAGCTGGCGGGACGCGCCGGGTGCTGTTCTGGTGTCTCAGATGCCCAAATGTTCTTTCTCTAAAGGCTACTACAGTAACACTTAGTTTATTCAGTCGTTTATTCATCCAATGTGTTCTGAGCGTATACTCTGTGCCAGTCGCAGGACTACGTGCTGAGAAAAGGCTGGCGAATTATACCTGGTTGTGGCCCGTTAGAATGTCACCATCTAGATGAGCTAGACATCTAACCCAATGACAGTCTAGCATGTAAGATCTATTACAGAGGTGCTGTAAAGCACGGCCCAGGGGTGTTTAACTTGGGGACAGTGGGCATCACGTTATCCATGGAACCTTCCTGGAGGAGGTCAGGTCTGTGTTGAGGTTTGAAGGGGGTGGAAGGAAAGGGTGAAGAAAATATGGCAACATCCATGGCATTTACTGGAACTACACATATTTGGGTTCAGTATTGATAGTAGAAAGGAGCCAAACAATCTAAGACCTGTGTGTTTGGCCAAAGAGTTCAAACTCTATCCTAACAGCAGTGGTAAGCCACTGATAGGATTTATGCCAGTGAAGTGACACGATCAGTTTTTGCTTTTAAGAAGGTCACTCTGGTAAAGAATGAAGATTGAAGAGAGGTGAGACTTGGGGTTAGTTAGGAGAGTAGGGTAGTATTCCAAGATTTCCAAAAAGTGATAAGAATCTGAATTGGGGTGGAAAGGAGGTAGATTTGAGAGACATTTGATGAGAGAATCAACAAGACTTGGTGATAAATTGGGAGTTTTTTTATATTGGAGTATAGTCAATTAACAAATGCTGTGATGGTTTCAGGTACACAGCAAAGCGACACAGTCATACATATGCATGTATCCATTCTCTAAATTGAGAGTTTAAGATGCAGATAACACAAAGTAGGAAGGTGGTTAAGGACAGGTGGGCCTCCTGCATTAGACTGTAGACCATAAGCCATTGGCAAGCAGGGCCTGAGTCTGTGCCTTCCCAGCCTAACTTTGCAGTGAGTTGTTGAATGACTGGCTGGAGGAATGACTTGTCTCTTCCAACCCCAGTGGAGCCTCTCCCATCCTCCACAACCCAGTGACAGGTGTGGTTTCAGCTCCCTCAGCACTGTGGTAGGCAGGGACTGTGCAAGCAGCTCATGGACAATGGCAGTGACTTTTACTGGAAAAGGGGGATAAATTCTTCTTAAATTCCCTTGACCCCTTCTTTGGTAACCGTTAACTTTAATATTTTAACCTCAACCTCCCCCCCCCCCTTAGTTTAACGTCAGGAAACCCCAATTTAAGTCAGGTCCACAAAAATTGGTCTGGGTGAAGGGCTACGAAAATTAAGCTGTGTCCTTGCCTTATCTGAGTTCCCAATCCAGATTACATTCGGCAGAACAAGCGTGCTGAGCAGGGAGTTTATATGAGGGTTGGGAGCACTGGGGACACTGTGGAGCAGGGACCTCACCCTGCGAGCTGCCTTATAAACTTCAGGGCAGGGTCTGGGGCCCTGTGCCACCCTCCCTAGGCTTAATGCTGAGATGGCACTCCCAGGCGGCTGACATGAAAGCAGCCTCATAAAAGGGTCAGCGTCATTAGGGTGATGAACCAGTTGGTACTTGGAGATCCAGAGGGGATGAAAGGCGCGGTGTGAAGACGCCCTGCGTTCCCCTGGCTTGGTTGGGCAGGGCTTCCAGGGGCCGATGAACACTAGGAAAACTGGATTCAAAGTGTCTCTCTTGCCTTTCGCAGGAGGAGGCTGTGGACATACTCAAAGGTCGGGAAGGTATTAGTAGGGGGGGGAGGGCTCTTTATCTCCAGGGTCCTGGGTCACCGCGTCCCTACCCAGCTCAGACTCCCGGAGCATCACCGGAGACGCTCTAGGATTGGAAGTTGTTATGGCAACGAAGCTCTCAGAATACTGAGGAAAGCCGAAGCCTAGAGAGGCGACACCCTCTTATACCCTCTTCGGCCCCACGAGTAAAGTGGCGCCCCCTACGCACAGGAACCGTGCTTGGGCCCCCGCCCCGGCACGGAGACCACCCTGGACCTCCGGGGGCGGGAGGCCGCTCTGGCCCGAAGCGGAGCCTCTCACTGGTAGACGGGCCCGAGGGAGCCCCTCTGGGCGCAGCGCCGCTGAGCTGCTCGATGCTCCGACCGGAAGTGCTCTTCACCGCCGACCTCCCACCCGGCTCTCTGGTCCCGGCGGTAAGATGGCGGCTGCCGCGGAGTGCGATGTGGTAATGGCGGCGACCGAGCCAGAGCTGCTAGACGATGAGGAGGCGAAGAGGTAACTGGGTGGCAGGGTAGAGGAAGGGGCGAACTTCAGCTCCATGGCTCCGGGAATCCCGTCCTTGCTGTGGTGCAACCCCTGTAGAGGCTATGCCCCGCCCTCCGAGAACCCCCCCGCCCCCCATCTGAGATAGAGTCCGGATGGACCCCCTGAAGGGGCGCTCTTGGAGGCTTGCCCTCCTCTCCCGCTTCCGCTTTGCTGAGGAGCTGAGATATGGCCTTGTACCCCAAGCAGAGAGGAAGGTCGTTCTCGTTGTAGAGGCCAGGTCTCTGAGGGGATCTTGGAGGTCTTTTGCGGGGTGGAGGAGGCGGCACGGCGATAATGATGCCTTCTTACACTGCCCCCGATCCCCTCCTTCCCTTGTTAATTTCTGTACCTTGTTGTCTATCAACCCTTTGCATCTCCAGAGCCTTTGCTGTCCTCATCCCCCTTGCCTCCGTAATCGTACCCCAGCGAGCACTAGTTGGGCCCGAGGTGACTGTGTGTGTCTCTATGATTGACCTGGTCCTTCGGTTACCCCAGAAGTGGAAGGTGATAGAGAAAGAACGGTGAGGGGTTTTGTCTCATGCTGTACACGTTAAACCCTCTCCCTCCACCCTTTCGAAGATCCTCATTCTTCCCAGGGCTGTTTGTTAAGTTAAGCAGCAAGGAAGAGGGCAGCTGCTTGGGCTGTTGGCGCTGCTGGGCAGCCGCAGTGCCTCGAGATTGCCAGTCCGGACCAGCCAAGGGAGCTGCTGAGTGAGTGGTTTTCGAGAACACTCTGGATTTTGGCTACAGCTAAGGCAGGTTATTGGAAGTGGGGCTGGAACACAGTTGTGGGTAGTCATTCTTGTCCTAAATATGGAGCAGAATTAACAAAAAGCTTCTGGAAGTTTGGAGCCCTGTCTTATCAACCTCGAGTTAATTGACTACAGTTCCCACAGTCTCTTTCCCACATATTTTGTATCTTTATACCAAGGCCATTCTGGCTTCAGTCTGGGTGGTTTGAGGTGGTGGTTAGTTCGTGAGATCTGAAATCAGGATTCCGAGATTTTTTTTTTTCTTTTTAACTATCCAGATTTGAAACATTAAGAAGTGCTCAAGGAGGCAGAATGAATAGTTAACTAGCTTAAGGGTAGTTACTGCAGCCAGTTGTCTCAAGTTCCTGACTTGTTGGGAGCTGAGAACCTTGACAGAACGTAGTTTGCAGGTTAGTAGGTCCCTGGGATGGGCTATATGTAATTTTAAATGAATTCAGTATAAATTTCTGATGTGGGGGTGGGCACTGTCCCTAATTTGAATTTCACGTCAAAGCCCCTATGTAAAGCAAATCTTTAAAATTTCAGCCTTAGAGGATATTCTATCATAAGAAAATGTAAAACAGGTGATGCTGTGATGTGACCATGTGATATCACCTGCCTGCTCAGTCTGACGCCACGGACTATAGCCTGCCAGGCTCCTCTGTCCATGGAATTTTCCAGGCAGGAATACTGGAGTGGGTTGCCATTTTCTCCAGGCAGTCTTCCCGACCCAGGGATCGAACCTGCATCTCCTGCCTTAGCAGGCAGATTCTTTACCACTGCACCACCTGGAAACCCCACATCACACACACACAAAAAACATGATATTTGCTAGCAGTTAACAGAATAAGGAAAGGTGTTATCTTAACTGCCTTATTTCATGGAGTTCAAGATTTCATTGAGTGTAAAATACATGGTTTTTTTAGTTATCACTAAGAAAAAAAAAGCATTCTTATGAAATAGACTTGTATGTTAAACATATAGATCTTTTTAAAACATAATAAAATATAAATGTTTGTTGTGTATCACATAAAAAAAGTCAAAAGGAAAATATAATGAAGTAAGCAAAAATATCACAGTTTCACTTTCTGTCTTGTAAGACATCCTTTAGAGGGTAAATACTGGACTCTGTTAGTAGGGAAAAGCATTGTTTATGTGTAGATTTCCAATGCTGAAAATGGAGTGGTGTCTTGGAGGTTTTGGAGGAAGATGGTTTTACATTTTTCACGTATTCTGGAGTCCTCATGTGTAGCCACAGCAGAGGGCAGGGATAGGTATGTCTCTTACAAATGCCCTTTACTACCTGACTTGGTTAGTTATTTGGCCAAGTTTGTGTTGTCTCTTGTTACAGTCATAGTCCCAGTTCACTTGGGGACAGGATCGTTGATGGGTCTCTTGGGTTGTTTTTGTAAAGTCCAGCAAGGAGTTCTTCCTTGTATTGTGGCCCAAGGGCAGCTTGCTTCTGGATTATCATAGTCCCATAGCGGGCAGAGTGAGGAGCTTTCAAGATGTTCGACCTCATGGTTGTAGCATTTTAAATGGCTGCATGTTTTAAAAAAAAAAAATTGGTTGCTTTTTTTTTTTCTTTGGTTTTGGGTTTTTTGGGGGGAAGGAATTGGTTTTCATTTTTTTTTGCCTGTCCCTCTGAACAAAATTCTTTTTTCCGTCATAGCTGAAAGGCTGGAATAAAAGGTGTGTTAGTTGTCAGTCCAGAATAGATCGGGCTTCTGAATGTGAGGATTATTATTTCTCTTTGCCCACCAGAACAGATAAAGCTGCTTGGCAATCCCAGAGGACTTAATTTCTGAGGTTGTTTATTTCAGCTAATTTAAAGTCTTCTCATTTTCCTGAGAAGTTGCTGATTTTTTTACCTGATCTATGAATGCCTATCTTGAGTGAAGGCTGTCTGCTTGAATTTCCCAGATTGGGGAGCAGTTTGGTCACTGTAGGTAGTCTTTATTATGGTAAAATTGAAGGATTTCAAGTTGCTTATGAATAGAAGAAGCGCTTGTGTGTCTCAGCACATCCCTTGGGGATATGGCTGAGCAGTGAGGTCTGGAAGACCCTACAAGAGCCATTGACTGAGGAGCCGGACATACATGCGCGCTCAGATGTGTCAGACTCTTTGCAACCCCATGGCTGTCACCCGCCAGGCTCCTCTGTCCATGAGATGTTCCAGGCAAGAGTACTGGAGTGGGTTGCCATTTTCTCCTTCTGGGGATCTTCCCGACCCAGTGATCCTTTGTTGGCAGGCAGATTCTTCACCACTTGAGCCACCAGGGAGCAGGGTATCCTAACCTGATTCCTTGGGCTGATCATCTCAGTATCTGTTTTCCTGATGGAGATAAGCAAGAACAATCATTATGAGGCCCTTTCTTAGTACCTCAGTATTGTAAACTAAACTCTTGAAATTTTGCCTTTTCTTTCTCTCTGCATATTGGTGGTGGGAAGCACTGAACCCTGAATCCGTATCCAGGAGTTGCTATTCAGTGCAGCTTCTTGGGGTGTTTTGGAGTTTGTGGCCTTAACTGTGGAGCTTGCGGGGATGCCTCTCCCCCTTCTTCTCCACTTTGTTTCAAATTTTTAGGTTTTTGTCCCCCTAAACTTTCTCTTGAAGTTCCAGGGCAGGCAACTAGACAAAGCCTGCAAGGTGAATGGGAATTGTCTTTGACCTTGAGCCCCAATCAGAGAGAAACTCTACTCTCAGCAGTATGTGTGGTATACTCGTGTGTCCCATGGAGAAATGGTACACGGGACAAATAAGTCATGGTTAAGGAAGGGCTCAGCCTAGGAATACAGAATCCTGAATACAAGCAAATAGTTGATTGAACCCTGATACTAACAAGTGGCAAAATTATTAATTAATCATAGCGGGAGCAAAGGTAGAGTTTAGAGGAAGGATGTCTCTGTTCTCTGCTGCTTTAATTCAGATCCACATATTAGCTGAAGCCAGGTAAATTGAGCAGTTTTAATAAAATGTTGGCCTAAGTGAGTGGCAGTTGCTCTACTGTCTAGTTCATTCCCAACGACCAGAACTCTGATTGGCTTAAAGCCCAGGCTTATTGTACATTCCAACCAATCAGGGATTGGTTTAGTCATTGAAGATAGTAGTTTTAAAGTTTTCAAAATCTGCCTACTAGGCACTTGCCTTTACTTCTTTCTCTAGGCCTTTAAGAGATTGGAGAACAATGGCCGGTGGCTGCCTCGGTGCCTTGTGGTCTGATGCAAAGTCCCTCTGAGAGCCGATTTCTCCCTTACTTCACTAATGTTTGGTCCCCTTTCTCCTGTGCTGAGTGATGTGGAAGTTACTTAGAGGTCGTTCCAGGTATTCTTTTAAACTGTCTAAATTTCAGCAGTAAGAACAGAATTCGGCATGCAAGTTATTCCAGTAGTCTATTCATTTTATTGGATTGACAGTTTTTTTCCTTCCCCATGCAAGATTCAAACAGCAGTTTCTGTGTTTAAGCCCACCATGGCAGGGGTATAAGTGATTGAGACTTGAGAATGGTAATATGAGCAGGAATATTTGACTTTCAAAGTCTGATTCTGAGATCTAATATTCTGTTGGCATATGACTTTGTCTGGGGCATATGACTTTGTGTGGGGAAGTGTTAACTGTCTCTTCTCATTCTAATATTAGGCTTCTGGGGAGGGTGTCTGAGACAAGCAGGACCTTGATTTATTGGTGTTGCTGTCCTGAGAATTCTTCCTAGGTAGTTTGCTCTGAGACCATCAACCACCTGAAGAACTCAAGAACCAAGAAAACTTGGGAAGCAAAATAACAGTTGGCAATGTAGATGCCTGACTATGGTTTCCATCTCCACTCCCCCCCACCCCCCTCACACATACACGTACACACATAAAAACAACTTGGAAAGCAGCCTTTTTCTTAATTGTAGTTCCTCAGTTCTAGATTTTTTGGCTACATCGCGCAGCTAGGATAGCAGGGATCCTAGTTCCCTGACTGGGGATCAGACCCAGGCCCTCTGTAGTGAAGTGTGGAGTCCTAACCGGGGAATTCCCTAGTTCTTGATTTTTGATGCATGATAGTGTCCCCATGAGGGTAATGGGAGATGTCACAGAATGGAAAACCAAGGGATAGAAAATGATGGGTTCAGGGAGATCTTTTGAAAACAAGTCTCTGGCTAACGCTGAAAAGCCAGTGGCTGGTGTCCTCAGAGTAACTTCTACCAAGCTTACTTCTCAGAAGCAGCCTTA